TGTGTGTGTGTGTGTGTGTGTGTGTGTGTGTGTGTGTGTGTGTGTGTCGGGCTAACATTGCTTCCTCCAAGAGCCACAGACTAAGAAAAACTTCAGTACCAGGCATGAGAAACCCACTTTCAGGGTATTGATCAGGGTAGTCCAAGAGACTCCCAAAACATTATAGGGTATAGCAATTGCTTTTGGTTGCCTCTCAGAAGTGAAACATTAAGTCCCTATTGCTAAAGATATCATGCACTTTGGATACAAGACTCAGAAAATCTGAGCTAGGTCTCACCTAAAATTGTCCTCCCTAAGGATAAACTTTTATAGCACTGGAAAGTACTATATAAATTGCCAAGGGAGAGGAAGCAACCAAAAGTCTTATCAACCTGTATGCCTCTGAACCACTATCATGACCAACATGGCAAAACATGCCTAAGCATGCAATAATAGTTAGTGCTCATATCTTGGTGGTAAGCAATATTTACCTAATAGGATTTAAGGCCTCCTCAATGGGAAGGAAATGATGCCCGGTACTGGAAACCTAACCAACTTTCTGGGGCTACTGAGCATAGATGTTGGAGAAGAACCTTCTAGTGCCACGTTAACAAACCAGCACAATTTATAACTATACTTTAAATACTTCACCTTACACCTACAGGTAAGTGTAGCTCACACCACTTATCAAAGAAACCCCTCTTTGCAACAGATGGAAACCTGTTGGATTACAGAAAACCACAACGGATCAAAATAATGGACTCAACTGATCATGAGGCACCCAGCCCCAATACATATCTACAACTTCTGAATCGAAAGCCCAGGGGCCATCAAAGAAGAGGGAGAAAAAAGAGTGCAAACCAGAGAACTAAGGAATCTACTGTAAGGCTGTATGTCCTACAAAGAGTAAGAGCCAGAAGACTTGGAAATCTGCTGTGAAGCTGTACGTCCTACAAAGGACAAAACAGCTTCGCCCATTAGACTTCAGTGATATGGGTGCCTACATAAGACCAAGTACAATACCAATATCCAAGGTAATGTGGAAGGGGTAAATAGCTCACAGGGCCCCACTACTAGAAAAAGAACTACTGGCAAATAAAGAATCCTGAGAGTGGACGAAATAGTCATCCCCAGGAATGAGCACCCTAACTAGCTATCCAATACCAATTGATCAGCCCTGAAATCAAACCATGCAATTACCACAAAATGGACTAAGAAGGGTATACTTATATATTTGTAGGTCTACATACACTATTATATATCTACAGATACAATAACAAAGAAAAAGAGGCCATGAATTTGAGAAGGAACAAAGGAAAGAACATGGGACAGGCTGGAGGCAAGAAAAAAAAAAAGGAGGAAATTATATAATTTAAAATTTTTAATTTTTAAAATTGCCAAATAGAAAAAGATTAAATACAAGTGACCAGAAAACATGAAAAAAAAAAAATGTTCAGCCTCATTAGCTATCAGAGAATGCAAGTCAAAACTCGGTGAGATTCCATCATGAAAAGCATAGAAGTTTTTTTAGGCAAAAAACAAACAAACAAAAAATCGATGTATCTATCACTTGACCTATTTTGATGCAGCTATACCATTCCTGGGTATTTACTCAAAGGACACCAAGTAGACATACCACAGAGATACTTACACATCAATATTTATGTAACACTATTCATAACAACTAACTAGGAAGTAACCCGCGTGTCCAACCTTAGAGGAAGAATAAGGAAAATGTGGTATGTATACATATACATACCTGAACCAACAGATAATAGAGAAAAAAAGAGAGTAGAGACAACACAGAAAAACAGGGTAAGGCAGTATATCACATGCAATTGTAAGAAATTTACTGTAAAAATCAAACTATACTTAAATTTGAGCATTATAACAATCTAATTTCTTTACCAGAACTATCTCTCCTAATCCAAGCTGAGCACGACCTAAGGTTTGCCATGACTCCCATGAGTGTGGGTTACGCTTGACAGCCATTTCTGCTGCGTGTACTGCTGGGAACATTTCATGCAGAGACATCAGGACCTATGTGCCAAAAAGAAGAAAACACAAAACTCGTCACAGTGTATGTAAGATAAACCAACAAACTACTGGTGGATAATCATACATGAACAATGATTGTTCTTTACGAATTTTTTAATCTGACACACAGTATTTCCTTAACTTTTATTTCCTGCTTAAAATTCATTATCAGAAATTCTAGACCTTTTTTCACTTCCAAAATAAGTAAAAATATAAAGCATCTCTATGTCCACCTGGTCCAAACCAAGGGGTTTTAGCTAGGAGCGATCTGAGGTGCACATTTCTAAGATTAGCACACATAGAAATAACGGGAGAGGTTAGAAATTTTGAAAAGAAATTCTAAAAGATGAACTCAAAACATTTTAACATTTTTTTTTCTTTTAACCAAGATACATCTCAGAACACTTCAGTGGCAGGATCTGGTCTACTAAGGAATTCAGCTTGATAGCAATCACAAAGTTAACACAGATTATATGACCTCCTATAACAAACGTTCTACTAACCTGTTCAAATCAGTCAAGATAAAACTAGAAAAGGCATTTCTAGCTTTTCTTTAATGCAAAAGCAGAAAGAACCCTTATAGTCTTTGTCATGTCACAAAGATTTTTTTTTAAATGTTAACAAAAATAAACCAAAAAAAAAAAAAAAAAAAAAATCCTGGAAAATAGAAGAAATGAAGGTAAAGTACTGAAAATATAACAACGTGGTTCTTCTGATGAAGCCAGTCTCCTTCCAGAAGTGGCCTCTCCTCAGGCACAGCAGCAGGGGTATGGTAGACACAGGGAGGGATCATCTTCAAAAACCCTTAGGCCAAGTCTGACTACCCTTGGAGACCCCGTCAGCATGTGTCTGGAGATCTTCCAGACTGAATCCAGCAGTACAGATGCTTGCAGCAAAATGACCAGACCCTTCCCAGACATGCCATCCTCCTCAGCCTTCATCATCTGCTTTAGGCCTCAGAAATGGGTGGTCATGGTATATCCACAGGTGTTTGTTTGTTGCCATGTAACTCACTGTTAAATTGTCTCTTAAGGCTTACTCTTTTCTGAGTTTGCTGTCTACTCATATATGCTTGTGGCATACAGCTGAGGAACTTAAATTTGATATGATTACCTTTTCTACCTTCATTTCCAATATTTCTTTCCATACTTTTACAGAAATTTTGTCTTTTTTATTTCTATTTTTTTTCTCTCTTCTTCATTTTCTGGAAGTTTCATGCCCTTCCTCTTTGGTGACTGACATTAAAGTCCTTCAACTCTTGAGCACAATATTCATCAATGGGCTTTACTATATGCATCATTCCTAAACCATGCTTCTGGAAATAATACACAAAGGCCAAGCTAGCTATAAAGTTCTTGGTCTCATCCGTAACAAAATAGATCTGTTTCTTGTTTTTCCTTATTCTGGTACAACAGTACTAGAGAAACTATCTCATACACAGAGCAGATGGAGTACTATAACAGCTCTGAAAATTGTTGCAATTGAGTCTTTAATGATTTCCAAGTTACATTTTTCAAGAACTTTTCATAAAACTTTTCATTATCTTCCACCAGTTCAGTGAAAAGTTCTAAGCAATTTTTGACCAAATTCATGTTGATAACATTCAAAATTCTGCTTTGATACAACTTATCACAGGAATTATTTAGAGGCAGATCCTTGACATCTGCCACCCCTGCAATGACAATCAGATACTTGGGGATTAACTCCTTATAGCCATGATGGAAACAACATATATACAACTTAATGCTTTTTTTTTCTTTTTCTTTTTCCACTGCTATCAAACAGATCAAAAGGAACATGTCCTGGGACAAAAATGAGCACTTAGAATTCAAAATGCCCTTCACTGCCAATTGTGCTTCCTAATTATTCACCAAGCTCTGATAGACCTGTCCACATTCTTCATTAATAATGTCATCAGGATTTCTGGTCCAAATAGGATTTGTTTTGTTGAGTGTTTCTTGACCAATGTACATTCCCTTAATCTTCTTTTTCTTGTCACCATTTGTCTTAGTTAAGGTTTCTATTGCTGTGAAGAGACACCATGACCAGACAACTCTTGCAAAAAAAAAACATTTAACTGGGGCTAGTTCAGAGAGTTAGTCCATTGTCATCATGGCATGAAGCATGGCTGGACACAGGCAAACATGGTGCTAGAAAAGTAGCTGAGAGTGCTACATCTGGATCCACAGGCAAAAAGCAGGAACAAAGTACCACACTGGGCCTGGCTTGAGCACCTGAGACCTCAAAGCCTGCCCTCAGAGATACACTTCCTCCAACAATGTCACACCCATTCCAACAAGGCCACACCTCCTAATAGTGCCATTCCCTATGAGCCTATGAGGGCCATTTTCTTTCAAATGACCACACTCATTCTCAAATGACCCTTCCCTCATTCTCCCTGATCATCCCCTTCCTCCTCCTCCTTCTGAATGAACAATTTCTATTTAAGGTTTGTCACCAGACTTCTTTTCTTCCTTATCTTCGGCCTCATGATCACAGACCTCTCTCACACTCCTCCACAAAGACAATAACAGGCTAGCCAATAAACTGAGAATGTTTCTTCACAATCTCTTCTATTATTCTTTCTTCCCAGTACTCAGTTTGGCCTTCACTCAGAAATAGGCTGGTCTTTGTTCCATGGGCTATAGAGTTCCCTGTGGCAGTCTTCACTGTGAATAATCTCTCTGCTAAGGCTTCCCAGTCAAACTGTTCATCATTATTAAGCTGGGTGCTCACATTTACTTTCTCAGAAGCCAAATACACAGTTAAAACAAAAAAAAAAAAAAAAAAAAAAAAAACTGGCCAACCAGAGAGATATCTGCACCAGCCTATAAAGCCCGCATAAAGGCTTTAGCCCCAAACTTGTTAACAGTACCAAAGCTGTTGATCAAGTCAACCCTAGTCATTCTAATTCCAGTATCAGCAATAGTGAGAGTATGATGTTTGCCAGAAATAGGAATTGTTATACAGCTCCTTCCCACAGCCTTGTGTACTGGGATCTGGTATGTTCTCACATCTAATTTATCCAAAGCACCTGAAAATTCTGAAATGAACCCTCTAAGAAAGATCTCTTTGCGTAGAAATTACTGATAACCAAGTGACATTAACTAAACAATTTGTACATGAAAGGCAGTTTCTACTTCTTCCTCCTCCACTAGTCAGGCTTAGGTCTGGGTTTCCTCAAGCATCTTCAGATGACTAATGAGTGACTAATACATGTTACACTAGTAGCAGCTCTGGATGCTGGAGCAACAGACCCATACCATTTATTTTTTTTAATATCTTCCAAAATGCAATGCATCTCCATTTTGAAAAAAATAAGCTATTAGTAGACTATTGAAAAGAAAAGTAGAAACTTTTTATCTATTTAAAAAATTTAGTAGTAATTTTATCTATATGCTATAACTTCTTAGAGCTAGGCTGAAATAGTAGTTGAGCTCACTGCAAAAGCAAACACATTTCTAATTTTATACACAAAACAAAGCTATAAATTACATGCTAAATTTTAGAAAATGAGTTATATTGGAAAAGAGCAGGCAAATCTGTTCACTGCTCCCTGAACAAATACAGCATAATTATATAATAAAAATAAAATTTCTTATAATTATTACCTGTGATTTCATCTCATAAAGGGTGGCATCATCTGGGGTTAGCTGTAGTGCTTCATCCCACTTCTGAATCGCCTCCTGGTATCTGTAGTTGTTAAAGTTACATCAATATCATATTTTCACTAAATCTTTGAGAGTACATGTTAAAATTGAAAATTGGAAACATGAAAATAATTACTAAGAAAATTTTCTACTAGGGATTAATACTGTTATAAAACCTTAGGTAAATTAAAGAAAGGAAAGGAAAAAGACAACAAAAGAGAAAAGGGCAGAATATAAATACGAGATCTTACAAATCTCCTTCTTTTTTTTTCTCATTTATTTATTTTTTTTAATTTTATTTTTATTTTTAGTTACAATTTGTTAACTCTGTGTCCTGGCTGTATCCCGCTCCCTCATTCCCTCCCCCTCCCCAACTCCCTCCCTGGTCTCCTCCCTGCCCCTTTCCAAGTCCACTGATAGGGGAGGACCTCCTCCCCTTTCATTTGACCCTGTTTTATCAGGTATCTTCAAGGCTGGCTGCAAAGTCCTCCTCTGATCTCCTTCTAAGATGTTGGAGCTTGGGCTAGCAAGATGGCTCAGGGGGGAAGCCTAACCTCCATGCCAATCCCTGGAACCCATATAGACGTAGAGGCACAGAAATAACTCTGCAAACTTGTCCTCTGACCTCCACACACACACCACAGCATGTACACACACAATAACAGTAATAATAACAACAAAAATAATATATTTTAAGAGATTTGCAGGTTGAGAAATCATTACCAAAATGTCTTTCTTTTTTAATTAACTTCAATGAGACATATACGCTCAAGGATTTGTCTTAAAAGGTTGCAATCCAGTTGCATACCTAGGTTCTGCTATAGCAATCTACCTGGCAGAGGTGACAGTCTGCCCTGACTAGTTTTATGACAACCAGAATTTCTACATTCATCTAAAAGGAGAAAACCTTAATTGAGAAAATGTCTCCATAAGATCAGATTGTAGGTGGGCAAACCTGTAGGGCATTTTCTTGATTAGGGATTGAGCCTGCTGTGGGTGGGGCCACTCTGGGCTGGTGGTCCCGCTCTACAGGAAGCATGCTGAGCAAGCCATGACAGCAAGCCAGTGAGCAGCACCTTTCATGGCCTCTGCACAGCTCCTGCCTCCAGTCTCCTGGTTTATGTTCCTGTCATGACTTCAATGATAAACAGTGATGTGGAAATGTAAGCAAACAAATCCTTTCCTTCCCAAATTGCTTTTGATCATGGAATGGACAATTGTCTATTTTTGTTCATAACTATAAATACAGGGCAAGCTTAAGAGATGGGTAAAATGCACCCAAAATAATACGCAGACAACTTCTCCTATGTTGTGGTTGGTCTGGATGGTGGCACTGTTTGGAAAGGTTTTAGAACCTTTAAGAGGTAGTCTCAGTGGGAAATGGATCACTGGGGGCTGACCTAAACACTAAATACCAGCCCTGCCTCCTGCCTCCTACCTTGATCCTGTTCTGTCAGGTGTGAGACATAAAGAGTCCTAACTGCACACTCCTGCCAGCACTGAGCTCCCTGCCTTCATTGCTTCCCTTCCATGGTGGACTGCATCCCATCAAACTGGGAGCTAAAATAAACTCTTCCCCCTTAAGCTGTTTCTTGTCAAGTATCTGGTCACAGCAACAAGAAAAATAACTAATGCACACTACCAACTTCAAAGATTGAGAGCCAGTGTTCAACTAGTATCTTCAATGTTACCCACAGAGAGCCAAACTCAGAAATTCTAAAAGTGCCCTTAGCAAACTTCACGCAAAACCTTCACAGGCTTTTCCTGCTCCTTAGGCAGTGCTTATGAGCACTAGTCCTATTTCCAAGTACTTGAACACGTCTGCAGTCACAGGGCTGTGAATCACTGACAATCTCTGTCACAGTCAGTATTATCAAGGACTATCTTCTCCTAATCATTTCTTGTTTTCCAGACCTTTCATTTCCTCAGTATGTGTTCTGTATGTACAATATATAATACTTGATAATAAATAACTGTTACTGATTCAGTCACTAATACATATTATAATCATATTACATATAGTAATACATACGTATACATATTATAATCATGTTATATATATACACACACATACATATAATACTGTGTGCATGTATGTGTGGAGGCCATAGGATGATGTCCTCCTTTATTGTTCTCTGCCTTATTCACTTGAGAAAGGTCTTGTCTGAGCCTGAAACACCCAGTTTTTGTAGGGTTATCTGGCCATCGAGCTCCTGAGGTCCATTGTCTCTCATCCAACAATGCTGGGATTACAGGCACGCATAGTCACATCCAGATTTTCAGTGAGTGCTGGAGGTTCATACAAAGGGCCTTATACTTACTCAGCAGGCATGCTTACCCACTGAGTCATGTCCCCATCTAACTCACAAACTTTTTACTGCTATTTTAGAGTTCATTTCTGGTACTTAGGAGAATAAGATTACTGGATATTACAGCAGAAGCGAAACTCCATACACCTTGTTCTCACTGACTCTCTTAACTGCATTAAAGCTGCATCAAGGGACTAAACTAGACCATCAAAGTATTTTTAGTCCAATTATTTTTATTTATACCACATGCATAATTACATGGGCTGTAAATATACTTCTCACTTTCGCGCCATACTGCTTGGAAAGACAAGATATTTCTTATTCACACATTACCAAAGGCTACCAGTCACTGAGCACTGACTACCATGCCAGTTACTTTATGTTCATTATTGTACTTGACCCTCACCAGAACCCCAGGTGGCATTAGTTATTCTCTCCATGTTGTAAATACGAGAAATGAAAATTAAAAGAGGCCAACTTGCCAAAAGTAGATGATGCTGTGGCTACAAGGGTGACGTAGGATTTGAAGGCAGCGAGTGTGACATCAGAGCCTCACATTAAGCCACACTTGATCCTATTTCCTCACCAGGCATCCTTTTCAAGTGGCCATCCATACTGTTGACACAATGAAACTGCCTATTGACACACACTTCAGAATGTGTCCACTGTGTTAAGCAAAGTATTCTGTACTAGGACTCAAGCTCCCCAGAGGCTGGGAAGAGGATCCATCAGTAAGGAGTATGCTGCACAAGCATGCAGACCTGACCTCAGTTCTACCGCCTCACATAAAAAGCCAAGCATGGCAGCAAGCCTGCAAGAGCGGGACTGTGGAGACAGACAGGAGGATCCCTCGGCCTTACTGGCCAACCTCGGCTATCGGCAAACTCCAGGTTAAACTTCATACCATCTTGACAAAGCACAAGAGTACACAGTGGGAGTGTGCTTTACAAAGTTTGCCTTTATAGTCATTAAAGGTGTGGCAGTCAACACAGTTATAACGAACAACTTTGCTATGGTGCTTGAAGCTTAACTACAAGTCATATGTTCAACTCAGAGAAGATGGCAACCTCTGATTCTAGTCAAACCACGCATAAATATATTAGCCCAAACCACTGTTGGAAACTTTTTGAGCTTCAGGCAGCTTTTAAGACATATTTTCACTATGTAGCCCTGGCTGGCCTGGAACTGACTACATACACCAGGCTGGCTTCAAACTCACGGATACCCACCTGCCTATGACTCCTGAATACTGAGATTAACGGCATGCACCAAGCCCAGCTCCTTCATAGCTTTCAGCTCACAGAATTCCATGATGAAAAGACATCTACTTGAGCACTATGTTTAATTCTAGTGAAAGACTACTCAAAATTTAGGAATTTAGAAATAATTGAGCAATTACTTTCTAATAATGTGAATAAAAACATTCTTACTCCTTATTACCCAAACTACTTCATTATTCATCTGTTTTATTTTTTGTAAATAGCATTTTTACTATGTTTTCTTTATTCTTGAGACTTTCTTGCATGAAATATGATCATATCCACTCCCGCTGCCCTCTTCCAGCAACCCCTCATGCCCTAACATGCTCAGTTTCTCTTCTTCTCCATAACCCATTAAGTCTAATCATTGCTGCTCATGTGTACATGGTTGCTGGTCTATAGAGAAAGATGGGCAACCTACCAGTTCCCCCCAATTTTATGATGTGTCAGCACAATTCTCGGTATTTCCCCAAGATCTTATCTTTATCAGCAATAAATCACAAATCTAGGTTTTCAAATGTACAGTACATCTCATACACATATGAAACATTTCTTCATGTCTACAGACCACAAGTCTCTCTATAGCACTCTTGCTTAAAGGCTGAATATTGTATAGTTATAGCAAATATATATCTAGGTACTCAATAGTATTTTTATTGGTAGCTAGTAAAAATTGGGTTTTAACCACTCCTTTTTTTTCAAGGGAAGGAGATCCAAGTTCTTCTACCCAGGCCACAGCTATCCAGAACAAAGAAAATCATGCAACCCAAATAAGCCAATCCAAGGTCAAGTTGACTATGTCAAACTATGGCCTGGTCAAACTGACATAAGCCTATCAGATTCTTCTTTGTGGAATCTGAAATTAGGAAACTGAAGAGTGGAAACACTGTGGAGGAGCAAACTGATAAACCATGGAAATTAAGTAGCAGTAGGGCACAAGCATAGAAACTCAAGCTGTTCATTTTCAACCTTATTGAGAAAAAAAAAAATGCCTGGGGTGGTTTGAATAAAAATGGCCCCCAAAAGCACATATATTTGAATGCTTAGTCACCAAAGTAACACTATTTGAAAAGATTGGAAGGATTAGGAGGCATGTCCTTGTTGTAATGAGTGTGGACTTGTTGGAAGAATTACATCAGTGGGAAGGAGGGGCTTTGAGGTTTCAAAAGGCCATGAAACACCCAGGCACATACACACTCATTCTTAATCTCTCTCAGTCTCTCTCTTACTCTCTCTCTCCTCTCACCTTTTTCCCTCCCTCCCTGCCCCCCTCTCTCTCTGTACCCATGATTAAATCAACTTTCAGATTTCTTTGTTTCTACCAAACCATGATGAATCCTGCTAAGAAAATCATCAGACCAGACTGATGTGGCCCACATTCACACAGAAAGTCAAATGTATATTGGACACACACTAGGCACTACAGGCTGGACATATAGCAATAAGGGAGGCAAGATGTCTACTTCCACAAAGCC